TTGTTCGTAATATCATTACCTGCTTGAACAGCCATTTGTCATTGTGACGCGATGGCGCACTGTGCGTAAGAGGTACCTGGTTTGATTACGGCGGATTGCAATTTTTGTCTTAACCGCGAATTCTCTTTAGCAAGGAATTTATCACACGCTTCAGATCAAGGTTCTTCAGTCGGAAGAATGTCGGACGCAGAACCGCGAGGTCCCAGGTTTGAGCTCCGGTAGGGTCACTCGATTTTGTATTGTCCAAGGTTGATAAATGAGTACCACTTTGTGGGAAGGAAACCAGGGACTACATACCATGCTTGCAACATAGTTGCTGCCAACTCTGCCTTATAAATGGTCACTCCTGGCTGATAGCGTGGAAATGGGGAACAGCGTCCCCACCATTACTTTCATTAATAGAAGGCTGCCAGAATCGCCTCATCGTGACATATTGAGAACCACCGACATATTAGCGGTTGTAAAGTTTTCCTTTCTTTCCTAGCATCTAGAAGCAAATGATTGTAGTGTTATGAAATCCTGTTTTAAAGGAATCTAGCGTTTATAAATAGTGCGCTATAAACTCTTAAAGCACCTAATTTTTAAATTTCGACCGATACAGTATATTTTGCGCTTAATATCCATGTAATGGGTTTATCGTATGCTTGACCCTTTGCTCTCTGTTAATGGCTCTTTAAAGTTTCTGTTTTTAAGACATGGGATAGGAAGTTTGCTCCTTTTATATTTACTATGTTTACTATTCTTTATTTCATCTTTTCACCGTTGTCATTGGTTAGTTTCAGTGTTTACTGCTTGGACTGAGACGTCGCGCGTGCTGTGCAGATGCTGACCCATCTGTTTGCTTAAAAAGTGCAGTACATTAAACGTGCTACTGATTGTTCAAAACGTCATCGTTTTGCTTAGTTTCACGTTGCCCTTCCCGGCCCTTAACTATATTAATAGCCTGCATAGTGGGTTCGTTTTTACACGTTTCATGGTGTCATACGTTCAAGGTGTTTTGAGTCTGTCCATTAACCGGTCTTCGAACTTATCATCTGGTATACAGAAGATGGACGACATTAAACTGTTTAACGATGTGTTATTTTCATTCGTTAGGACGATTTCCTTCCTTCGATCCATTTGAGTTCACAGCCTTGGAACTTGCACGGCAGATTTGCTTACTTGTGGACTGTTTTAATGGTCTTCAGTTTGTCTTCAACATTGCTAACATTTGCGGTGTTTGCCTCTCTTTTCGCACATGGTCTACGCCCAGTGCTAGATGTTCCTGTGGTTTGTATTATTCAGACTCAGGTATCTATCTTTTAGAGGATTTCCGTAGAAAACGTTGCTGGACAGATTTTCTTTCTCTTGTTTTTTATCGGTAAGTACCAGGCGATGACCTTTGATTTCTGCTGAAAGTTTTTTCGAACCAGTGGTCATCATCAGCTGATCGCTTATACTTCGGTTCTAATCGATCGATCTCGCTTCTTAGCGTTTTATGGATCTGTCAAACAATACGACTGTTTTTTAATACGGTGCAGCAACGGTAATTTTCTCACGGTTTCAACTGTAATGCCATTCTGATGCATTCCGGGTAGTCAAATGGAGGATCGACTTCGTTTTACTTTGGTGAGCGTAGATGCGCAGTGATCTGTTATATACTCTTTTTGGTACGTCGCCATATTCATTTTCGTCTGGGTATGCACCATCCTGAGACTTGGCTGGATCTAAGCAGGCGTCTTGGAACGTGACGTCTGACCAGTTCTTCAGTTACCGGGTGTTTATATCCTTTTTTCCCATTGTTCACCTGCTAAGAGCAATGCGTCTAAAACGTTTTTTTATCTTCAATCGGATTGGCGGCGCCAGAATAATTTCCATATAAACTGGCAATCTAGAGCGTTTTCTTATTCACGAACTGTAGTAACGTATTGCTTGATTAAATTTGTGGCGATGTTCGACAGTGCTGCCGGTCAGGGAACGTGTTGGTTTGAGAACTTGTCGTCTGTGTGGAGCGCGGCACTTGTTTGGTGTGCAGAATATAGACGTGGTAGTCGTTTCACCGTGCTGTTACTCAGTGTATCGCGGTCGAGAACTATTGGGAGTTGTTTCGACGTTCGGAAGTATGAGCATCACATCCCAGCGATGTGCCAGTGAGCTTCTAAATCATTAGTTCTCGCTTTCTGTCTGCTCTGGGCACTGCCGATCATTCACGATCCGGTTTAAAGTGGCTTATAGATGTTGCCGGTTACGTTGAACAGGTGACACTGCGAACCTTCAAGCTAATTCTGCTGTGGAATCGCGATCAGTCAAGTAGAATGCGTAACTAACTTCAAGGCATTGATTTTTCGTCTCCAGGATTCGAGGTAGTTTCTTGCACATCGATTTCAGACTGTAGTGTCTTCGGTAAATTCTACGTTCCTCGAGCGATATGATTAGTAAAGATGAACTTTATTAAATGACATAGTCTGATCGTCGCTGATATGGGGTTGAACAATGTTGGCGTTAGTGCAGTTCTAGATACGGCTGTTGTTTAGTCTCCGTTTAGTTGGATGAGATATCAAATTACTCAAGATCTCTGTGACGAGTCGAACCATCTTTTGACATGGAATTGCTAGCTGCAGTTTCATTTGTTGTCTTAACACTATGCCGTTTCGTATGCGCAGGACAAACAACTGATGAAGGCTGTTAAGTTTAAAGTTTTGTGGTGGCCAGAGCTCGACGGATACCAGGCGGAATTGGGCCATCTACAGTGGATTTGTCAGAGGAAATCGGTGTTGTTCCGTAACCGTTTAACGCACGATCAATATTTTGCGGATGTCCTGTAATTGACTGCTTTTAAGGAACCTGTGTACAAACAGCATTTAATTTTTAAGCTTGAGGTCAAGAATAAGCTACCCTATGAAGCGTACGATTGACCCTATGAGATGGATGTATTGTTCAGCATGAATATAGGGAATGTATAAATAAGTGGTTCCAGTTTATGATAAAGCGACGAACAGTTTGTAACTCTAGTTGTCTGTCTGTTTTTTCTTTGCACTATGTCACTGTTATTTCGACATTCTCTGCTGCGGATGTTCGATTTGTACTTCTGTATATTCATTAACGTTGTTTAGGAGCAGTTAACGACAAATCGCAAGAATACTGCCCCCGCTGTGCAATACGAAAATGTCTATGACCCCCTGATTTTAGCCAGGAAGGGCGAGAAAATCGGGGAGTTCAATTTCGGTTCCTCTGTCGTGCTTGTTTTCGAAGCACCAAGTGACTTCCAGTTTACTGTGCATCCTGGACAACGAATAAAATACGGACAGCCACTGGGTGGCGTTCGGTCAGAGCGCGATGCGCAGCCACCGGCTGATCGGCCGTCATTCAGTGTTGATTGATCATCGTCGTTGCGAGCCCCCGAACTGTCAACATA